GGCGGCGGCGCTGGGCTTAGGAGGAAGGGCCTGTCCAGCGTGGTCGACCGAAACCTGGTGGTTGTTGCGGAGCTGGCGGAAAAATTGGCCGTTGTTGGAGATGGAGTGGTGAAGGCTGCGCGGCACCTGGAGGGTCTCTCCCTCCTGCTCCTTGACGAGCGAGGCGACGTGCTCCTTGGCCTTCTCAACATTCTCGGGACGACCAGTGATCTTGACACCAGTCTTGCCATCACCCTGACGGGGAATGTCAATGGAAACGGTAAACTGGGACTCGAGCTGACGCTTAGCGTCTCCGCCACGGCCGATCAGGGTTCTGTGCTTCTCGATGGGAACCTCAAGGATCTCAGTGACCTGGTTCTCCTTCTCTGCGACAATCTCCTGGATACGTGCAACGATTTTGTTGACAATGTCGGAACGGCCCTCAACCTTGATAGTGTTGCCATCAGCCTCCTGCTTGGGGAACTGGATGGTGCGTGCAAGCTCGCGGCGGTCATCAGATCCACCGGCCTTGACAACGAGGTCGCGGAGGTTGGCGCCTGGGTAGTGTTAGTTAAAGCTACAAAATTCGATTGGTTCAAGTGATCTTACCCCCAGAACCGATGAGAGACTTGTGGTGCTTCTTATCCACCTCAATAGTCTGCACAACGGTGTCGTTAAAGACATCTCGCTTCTCTTCGAGAGCCTTCTTAGCAGCAGCAACCTGAGGCTTGGTACCCTTGATCAGAATCTCAACAGTCTCGGCATCGCGAGCACTGGGGATATCAATCTTGGCACCAGTTGCCACGCGGAGCTCCTCCAGTGCAGCACCACCCTGTCCGATAATGGACGGAACTTGCTTCTGCTGGACAGACACAGTCGCTGTGAAGGAAGTGTCCTTAAGGTACTGGAGGAGAGACAGGATCTCGTCGCGGGCCTCATCGGCTCCCTTCTTGGGACCACGAACAATGACCTCGTCGGGCTCCTGCTGACGCTTAGGCTTGCCAGCATCGCTGCTGGCATCGGCATTCTCCTCGTCCTTCGCGTTCTTGCCGGACCGGGGGAAGAAGATCAAGACCTTGTACTTGCTTTGCAGGCGGTTCGTGACGCTGCCACCCGCACCAATAAGCTCGCGGTGGAACTTGGGGTCGACCTTGAGGATGTGGGTGACCTCGTCGGCCAGAGTGCGGCCCAGCGAGCTGATGTGGGCCTTGGCGGCCTCAGCCTTGGCCTTGGGGCCCTTCAGCTCGACCTGGCCATCTTGAACCTGGATCTCGACGTCGAAACGATCACGGAGCTCCTTGATGTTGGAGCCGCCCTTACCGATAAGGTGGTTAGCGTACTTCTGGGGGAAGTCGAAGGACATGGTGAAACCACGTTCCTTCTCGTCCTCCTTCTCTTGCTCGACAAAGGCGACGACCTTGGCCTCGAGGTTCTTGACAGCAGAAGCGGGACCACGCAGGTTGACAACGGTGCCGACCGAGGAAACGCGGATGGGAATCTGGTCGTCGGCGCGGTTGGCCTGCTCCTTCTTGATGAAGCGGCGGAGGCGCTCGTGGAACCTGTGAAATGAAATTAGCTAAGACGCTCGTGCGAATGGGTCCGACACACTCACTTCTGGGGCACATCAACTGAGGCAGAGGCGATCTGCTCCTGCTTGTTGATGATATCCAAAATCTGCTTGCGAGCCTCCTCCAGGCCCTTCTGGAAGGCCTGGATCTCATCCTGAGAGGGACGACCGGTCTTGATCTCAGGCTTGGGCTCGGAGGCAGAGGGTCCCTCGAAGACAAGAAGAACAGGAGCCTCGGGCTCGCCAGACTCAGGAAGGATGACGTGAACGCCGTGGCTGTTTCTCATACGAGGGCTGACGTCCTTCACCAGGTAGTTGTGGTAGAAGGGGTCAACAGGAATCGGGGCAATTCTGGCAGGAGGAATGGCATGCACAAGCTTCTCAATGGCCGACTGAGCCTGGAGAACGCTCTTGCCGTCACGAGCGTACAGCTCATAGGGCGAGGCGCCAGCAGAGGTGAACGGAGTGTTGATGTGAGTGTTGTGAGCACTCTCAATGTCGTCGAACAGATCGCGGTGACGCAGGTAACGGGTGACGTTGCGAGCGTGGGTGTTGACACCTCCAGGAGCGTTCTTGTGGAATCTGCCAATGTCGAAAGTGGAGAACTGCATGTTCATGGCTCTGTCCATAGCAGTCTCGACACCCTTGGTGAGCTGAGCTGCGGGACCAATAACAGTTACAGAGTCGTCATCCTCGTCAGTCGGCAAGAGAATGGTGCAACCAGTCTGGTTGAAGAAATCGTCGAGAGTCTCGCCGCGGCGGCCGGCGATGAACTGATGACGACCCTTCTGCAGACTGAACTGGTCGATGGCAAGCTGGTTCTGGAGCTCCTGAACACGGCGCTCGATCTCGGCGCGCGCAGCCTGGACAGCAGCGCGGTCACCCTGAAGCTGAATGTGGTTGTCGGCGGCAGGGACGAAGACGGGGCGCTCACCCTCGTTCGCGACAAGGCTGCGGCCACGAGGAGCCCAGATCTGATGTGCAGGAACGCGGACTGTGACACCGTTGTTCTCGTAGCGGCCGATGTGGCTGTTTCCAGGGCCCGCAATGAAGGGGTAGAACTCAGCCGGGATGCCGCGAAGCTTGCTGTTCAGGTTGGCAGTACGATCTCCGGCAATCTTCAAGATCTCGTTACGAGCAGAAGCGGCGGACAAAGCGTTGCCCTCGACGAGAACATCGATGGTGGAGTCATCATCCTCGTCGATGGGACCGCTGCCCTCCTCCGCCTTAGGGAGTTGAACACGGGCGCCAGACTTCTCCTGAATGGACTTGATGACAGAGCCACCCTTTCCAATGATGTGAGCACGGGCAGATTGGGGGATCGGAACCTTGATGGTAGTCTTCAAACGGGACGTCAGCCTGGGCGCGTGGAGGAGAAAGGATTGGCCACCTACCTTGGTACCAATTTGCTGGACGAGGTCCTTGAGGGCCTGCTGAGCAACGTCCTGGGGGCCCGTGGCATCGAACTTGAGTTTTCCGTTGGGTCCGTTTGACAGAGTGATGTTGGCGCGCGACTTGCGGTTGATGTCCTTCATGATATCAGGGATGGGGCGCTTAAGCTGGTTGCGCGGGAGGATGAACTGGGGATCCAGGACAACCGTCTCGACGTTACGGCCAGGAATCGACATCTTGGGGGTGGCAGCTCCCGAGGCGGGAGTCGAGGAGCGGGAAACACCGTTGGCGGGGGTAGAGGCGTTGCTCTTGGCTCCCCAGATGGGGGTGACGTTGGGGCCAGCGCTCTTGCCCTTGGAGGTTCCGAGCTCGGGGAAAAGCTCATGGGAGTGGGTGTCGATCTTCTTTCCAGAGGCCGAGGCTTCCTTCTGCTTATCAGCAGCTCTGCTCGAGCTGGGCTCGGCCCAGGAAGGAGCGTCGCCGGACTTCACGGGGAGATCCTCATCGGGGACGTCCTCGACAGTGGGGTGCAGGTCGGCATGGGTTTGGAGGAGGCGCTGGGCAGCTGAAGTCTCAGCGCCGTTGGCAACAGTGGAATCGGTAGAGGCCATTATGAGGCGAGTTGACTATAGTCGTCGTGGTAGAGAGAAGAATTCGATGGGGTGGTGGGAATAGGAGAAGATCGGTATATCTGCAAGGGGTAGCGATACCTAGTTAGCTGATGTGTTCTGCTGAAGACGCAGTTACGGCAGGAGCGTTCCTTGAGGGAAGGAGGTCAGAAGAGAAGAAAAAGAGAAGAATACTCACAACTGATGGTATATACGGCAGTGGGACAAGACCAGTAGAATCAGACCTCCGATGAAAGAAGACTGAAGCGTGAGAAACCGTAGAGCAGCGAGTAACCGATGGGAAGATGGAATTTGATGCTGGCTTAGAACATTGTGACCCGAACCGGCAACAATAATCGTATCCAGGAAGTTGAATCGGGAAAGAGGGAGTTGGCGAAGGGAACAGGCCAACCAATTGATGGTTTGAGAAGTGGGAGGATAGGTTACGGAGATGGATTTGAGGATTCGGGGGGAATAAGGGTGAGGTGGAAGATTCTCGACTCCACGATGGTCGAGCTGTTCAATTGGAAAGTGGAATTTCTGGCGCGGGCAGGGGTGCTACTTCCAGAAAGGTTCCGCCTACCAGAGGTGCTCCAACCGACTCCACTCTTGGTGACCCCACACTTAGCCTCAGCCACAACCTAAATTGTTAGAGTGCCCAGGCCCAAAGGGTCAGCCGTTGCACCTGGAAGGCACGATGGCCGGATGAGAGCTCCGGCGTCACGTGGGGCCGCCTGCCGACTTGGGCCCGGGGTCGGGTGTCCGCATATATCTCCGGCCTCCGGCGCTTGGACAACGATGATCCGCGAAATTCCCAAATAGTTGAAGCTATCGAGGACCGAGTCGTCAAAGGTGGCGCCGTCAAGTATTGACGCCGCGGAGCATGGTCCGTCTCAAGAACGTGTCCATTCTGGAGGTGAAATACCCTTGCCGGATTCTGAAGCTGGTCACGTTCAGTAACCTACGCTCTGTGCTAGGAGGACCTCTCGGCTTCTTTGAATGCTTGTCTCAATTCGTCTTCATCTCGTCTCGTATGTCTGACTACCTCGGCAATCTGCAGGGTAAGCGCAATTGAGGCTTGAGACGTCGTTGACGAGAAGCAAGGCCTATGTGTCGACAGATCGCGAGAGACACGTTGAATCGTTGAAGTAAAAGTTGAGAAGTTTCTAACCGGAAGCTTGGTTGAAGCAAAGAGAAATTTACTGGAGATAATCCATTACATATACTTGAGGCGGACGATGTAGTTCTGTTCTACTTCCACTTTTCATCATCAGGATTCGAGTTTGCAAACTTTTAAGCTTATGGTAAGGACCCTTCAAAGAATATTTCAGACCTCCGACTAGCAATATCTTTCCGAGTCATTCATCAGCCTGTCACTCCCCGTCGTGAGTTACCCAAGACTCGTCATATATATCTAGCCGTCCTCGCTCCGTCCCCAATGAAGATAAGTCGCCTTACATCATATGCCATAGAAAACTGACAAGCCTATGATGGCTTGGACAACAGGCAGCAACAGTGGTATTTGTATGGCTCCTGGTGCTCTTCTGCGTCCCAATATGTTTTACTAATGACCTGCGTTGCATCGCAAAGTGCTGATATGTAGAATATTTGTGTAGGACAACCAAGCCTTCCGGGCAAACGGCCGAAATTTCCAACATGAGGAGCTGTAAGTGGTCTTACCAAACCATTAGAACTATTCAGATGCGGAGTTTGCAAAGCGATAGAATATACATCGCAGCAACTCCGGACTCTATCAACATCAGTCCACCCACCTGGCATACAGAAGGGTGATACCCGGATCGCCTCTCGTCAGAAACTCACTTCCAGCCGAGAGATCTGGACTCTACCTCGTCGATCTTGAACCGATAGTGTGGTTTACCCAATCGTTTTGATCCCTCGGCTGGTTATCCGACGTAAAGTGTCGAGTGCTTGTCAAAGGGCAAGCCGTATGGTGCAGTGACGATTGCTAGAGAGCTTTTGGTTTGTGTATTTTCCATGTACAAACAAACATTCATGCTTCATTCTGTCCGACATGGCTAGACAGACATTGGCAGCAAGGAGAAAAATGATTCGATCAAAAACTTCATCTCGTGAGGTCGTCCAGCTAAAGAGGTGCGACTTTCTCGTCAACAATCAGTGTGCCATCGTAAGCAAGTGGGAGTCGATGCGAGAGGTGGGCGATCATACAATCCGCATCCCACTTTGGCCAAGATTCCTGTTCTTACTGACACTACTATCGCCGTCATTAACTTGCAAATCCACACTCTCCATAGTCCTTTCATATGGCCCCTTCGAAAGTATCAGCAACGATCTATCAAAAAAAGGAAATGGAGACATAGCAGGGGAGTCATCTACGTGTTGACTAGTGGTGCAGCATGCTGTCATCCACGTGGTGAGATCCTCACCATCCAGCAGACGGAGGTTTCTTGTTCCCACAAAAGCATTGTGAACGAAAGAAACTTTTCTTTAGACTCAGCCTTTCCTCCCCAGATGACCAATACCTTAGATGAACGTGTGAGTCGGACCCTTCATGCACCCGAGAGTTTGGGGCATGATGAAGTTTGCCGTGTATGGACGAGTCTGCTAGGATCTACGCAACCTTATACCTTCCTCCTCTCTTCCCCTTTCCTGGTCAGGAAACATTGAATGAGTCAACTAGTAGAGAGGTTCCCAGGGCCGGAATTCCTCACGCGCCTGACAAGGTGGTCGGCTCGGAGATGTTGGCCTGGTGGCCCCTCGACATGACCGTGACGCACCCTGCTCAAGATTTAGAAACGGAGATCGCAGCCATGTTTCCTCGCAGATAATCAACTGCCCCGCCGGAACCTGGGATCTCGAGTTCGCGTCATGAGAGGGATGATCCATGAGTCTCCTCAGCATGACTATCAAGCCCAAATCGCGGGGTATTCTGAGCAGGCGGCAAGGCATTTTGAAGCACAGTACGGCCCGACAAACCTCCCCTGGGATCGAACCCTTGAAGGCCCAAAGTTGCAAGCCACCACAAAGTCAATCATTGCACATGTGTATACTCACCTTGGTCTGGGTATCGTGTACATGCGAGATCAAGAAACCGCACACAATTGCGTGAATGCGTGGTGTTGGCAATGAGGTTGTCTTACAGTAGCTTTCCTCGAAGCTTCGCCGAGACTGCTGGGGAATGGAAGCAATATGACGACCAAATCGCGGGTTGCTCAGACCTCAAAGCACAATATCCATATGGAGCCAAAGCAGTCACAAGCAAATGGCAAATATAGATCAAGGACCCTCATCTCCTGGCAATCAAATGACCTCCTAAGACGCAATCAGATGAAATGGACGAGCAGGGCGCGGCGGGTAATCCCCAGAGGAGCCCTGCAATTATTTCCACAGACACAAACCGTTTACTTTGGTGGGCATTTCTCGGCATCCCCCATCTCTTCGTTCAGACTAGTACGCGGGCAAACGGGGCCTTGCTTGACTGGTGTAACGGCTTTTTTTGATTAAGAACAGAAGGAAGAGAGAGAGATGGAGGGGCTCAAAATAAGATCATAACGGCCACACTACTCTTGGAAGGGAGATGGGAGCCAGCCACGGTTCGGTTTCGAAATCCTTCTCTCCAAGTTGAGCGCCTCATTAGTAGATCTAAGATGACCTCTCGGCACCAGCACTATCGCTGGTGCACACCACCAGGCTGCACGGACGTTGGCGATGGAATAGGGACGGACAGAGAAGGTGGTGGCGGTGTATTCGTTAAGTACGTAGTATGGGTCGCCGCCCAATATAATCTCTCGTTTGAGCAAGGAGTGAAACCTTCCCAATCAGCAAGGGTCTAGAGGGCGCTGAACGGGAAGACGGGCGGGAAGACGGAGGTAATTAGGAAAATTGTCGTGATTCTTCAAGGATTCGTGCAGCCAGCCGGGGATGATATTGGTCCTCATGGACTGGGGGTATATGCAGACACTCGTGACTGGCAGATTGGATATTGAGGAAGGGAGAAGATTAAGATATATATCAATTGCGATGTGTGAGGGAAAAGAGACACAAAGAGATGAATGAAGCATTACTGGACCCTTTGTGGAGCAGAAAGCCCAAGTCCCCGATGGTTTGAAACAAAGATTCATATTCCCTAGGAGGCCAGGAACGCGCATTGGCCAACGAAGCCCCGTTGTGAAATTCTGGCCAGCGTGAGAGCATGTCAGACAAAATACGTACTCTATAGGCTATACCTTCAAGTTCGGTCCTGATCTTACCTAAGGTGGGTAGCGTTGTGCCTCACAGTGGGATAATACCAGTTGATCCCTAGATATTATTACACGACGGCCCGGCGGCGCAGTCCGATCAAAAACGAAGGTTGTAACTTACCAAAGTAGCCTAGATCGTCGTAGCGGATGGACGACGATATATTCTAGCCTTACCTTGTGGCAGGCTGGAAACCCCAAGGAAGGTGAAAGGAAGGAGCGGACGGGGCGGGTGGCCGAAGTTTACCTTTACATTTCTGAAGTCCTTCTTCTGAACCGTGAGGCATGTACCGATATCTTAGGCTGCCGATTCGTCAGATGACAGCAAGATGTTCTGATGCGCTGGAGAAAGCGCAAGATGACGGTCATTCCCGCGGTCAATTGGAGCGGCCCGTGGCTTGCCAAACCAAGTGAGACCTGGTCGCTTTGCAAGCTATCGATGAGTGGGCGAGAATTCTTCGCCGGAAGGGTCTCACCATCGGCACCCCAACTTTGGGCAAGTATTCGTCTGAGATGAGGTGTCGCATCGCCATGTAAGGCGACCCTCACCATGAGAGCATCTCATTTCCATCGTGGGTTGGTAGTTGAATTAGATGACCGTAAGGTTTCTCGAGGTAGTAATGATCAGAGACAACGCATAGGTTGTACGAGTTCTCGTTGGCATACCCCTGCTGGAGGATGCGGATGAGAAGAGGCTATACGGAAGACTGAGTATGGTAGGTACTACCTTGACTGGAGTACCTAAGGTATTTCTCTACCTTACCTGCCGACATCATCACGGAAGGCTGTACGTACCTACATTACAAAGGTGTCAATGAATTGGAAGCCACGATTAAGGAACTTCCTCTATTCGAACTGATGGCCTCATCTGACTTTTTCCATCTCCATCATGATCTTTATTCCCGGTTCCTGCTTTTTGGGTGCCAATGTCATGTCAGACCAGTACGACAAAATCTCTGTCCATACGGTCGCAATCACTGGGACATTCCCGACGCAACAAGAAAGCATCTCCCTGCCGGCGCGAAATAACGTCAGTTCAAACAAAACAACCCAAGGCTCAAGCACCTCAGAAAAGAAGCTTGGGCAAAAAAAAGAAAGCAAACGCCATCATCTAGTCTCTCCTTTTCCTCGCCTTTCGACTTTCGACTCCAATTTGCTCCTGCCTGCCCTCCACCTCTGCCCCGTCCCTCCCTTCCAGCCCTCCCCCCCCCCCTCCTTCTCAATTTCGAGTCTCCTCGTTTGATGTCTACCTTCCTCGAAGCCGTAGGCGCCAGGGGATGCCGAGCCGGCCACCACGGACCAAGGCATCGCAGACAGGAACAACCCTCACATCATCTTCCATCAAACCTGGCATTGAAGCGGGCAGGCATTTCCCTCGATATTACAATCCAGCATTGCATGCTTACCTAACCTTATACGCTTCTATCTATACTGTCACATACATACAACGCGCTATCTACAGAATAAACATCATTCTGCGCCAGCCTGACATGCATTAATCACTGTATGCATTTCTTACGTCAGTCAGCCCACACGAGAGCTTTTTCGTAAGCAATGGCAAAGCAAGTAGCTTTTCTGAATTTGAGCTTCCAAGACTGCCAGAACGGGAGCTGCAGGCAACGTCGCTCGCCCAGCTTCCGAGTTCCTGTTTTGCCACACCAACTTGCCGGGTCAGACAGCATCTATGTACGGAACTGGATTTGCAGCAATGCAATGCATACCTGGCCGTTCCATACCGAGACGACCTGTCGACTCTGTTCCTCTAGTTTCTCTTGCTCCAGGTTTAGATTCAAGACCCTTGGTGCTTCAGCTTTCTCTCCTCCCTCTCCCCACTGACCTGACCAGTGTCCGCAACGGCGACCCCAATCCCTGACCCCCGAATACCCTGGCTTCTCCCTACCGCATCGCATGCCCGCACTACTTTTGCAACTTAGCTGCCCGTTAGGCTAGAGCCGCCGTGCGATCAGCGAGTCCCTGTTGACCACTGACCAGAGACATTCCTCACGCACCTGAGATTGACCAAGGATCGACCGTCAGGTCCATGGCTCCAAATAAGACAAGCACACAAGCAAGCACAGTCGGGTCGACAGAATGGGGCATGGGCGCGGGCTGGAGACGCACAGCACCGACGTTGACCTAAAGCAGCCCCCAACTTCAAGGCACGGTGGAACTTCAACTATGTGAGGAACTCAGGAAGCGTAGCAAGCAACCAGCAAGCTATCTTGCCTCGCGGGTGTTGCTGGTGGTAGTTGCCGTAGCTCTGCTCTCGAGCTCTCTGTTGGTTGCATGGTCCCGGTTGCTGTTGCTCCTCAACTGGAGCCTGCTGTGCTTCTTCCCGAAAGCAATCAGTTTGAACCACAGACGCGGCCCAGGGGCCTGCGCCGGTGTCTCTGCCCCGGCTCTCTCTCCTACCCTCCCAAACACGCCAGCGATTCGACGTC